AAAGCTACTGAGGTCACAGTGATCTTGAAATACATGTAAATGTCCTTTGCAGTACATTAGGCAGGTCAGTTCCTTATCAATGAGGCCACGTATTGCTGAACAAAGATTAGTTTTTATCAGAAGTGAATAAAATGATGGATCACATCAGTGCGCGTGCTGCCTGACATGTCTGCCGTTGCTGCTGAGCAGTTTGGGGTACGCCGTCCCGAGTGAGCGCCCGTGTCTGATCACCACCAGCTCCATCTGACACTGGTCAATGTTGACTACAACTGTGGTGCTTCTCTCCGTGTTCATGAGGAAGACGATGGTGAAGACGGCCATCTCAAACTCGGGGCTGGTGCCGATGAAGGCACTGCCAACGGGCTTCACCACACCGTGCCAGCTGAACTGGAGGTTGAGAACGTGGTCATCTTGATCAGGCTGTGACAAAAGCATGAATGTTTATGTTACCAGCGAAGGAAATGAATCTCTTCTGTCTGGTGAACTGTTATTCTTACCAAATCATGCTCCCTGGCTTTATATCCTTTGTAGTCCAAGTGTTGGTTTTTCTCTTGCAGGTAGAACTGGACCCAGTTGTGAAAACCAATGATTTCTGTTCCTGATTTTGTCTCGCCAACAAACACATGTTCAAATCCACTGGAGTCCAGGCTGGTGATGATCAATTTAAGAACAGAAACACACATACTTCTTACCAAAGAAATGCATATTAAATTATAGTGTTGCAGAATCTCACTTTAGCTGTGTTATTAAAGATTCTTTTTTTTGATTTCTCATTTAAACTTTGTGAAAAGAAATCCTCTAATATCTGACATCCTCCTCCATTTTCTTTCTGGCTTCTTCATGGTTGCAAACCTGAGTGTGCCCAGAGGAGAGGAGGAGATGCTGTGCTATTTCTGAAGAGAAAAGCACAGCATCTCCGCTGTTTGAGGGGTTATTGTGAGGAATTTGTCTCATGTGTCCCCACTGAGATCACTGAAAAGCGTGGGGTTTCTTCCACCTACAAAAAGTACATCATGTCCACATTCCTGCAGTGATCCCCTTCTGGGAGACCGCTGAGGCCAGAGCGACATTCCACAGCTGCACACAGATGTTATTTTGCCTCTGTAATGTCTTGAAGTAATGTGTGCAGAGCAGCAGTGCAACAGGAAGAACATAAAACTCCTTCTAGAGTTCAGCTGCAGCCTCAAAACCATGAACTGTAGGAAACAATAGAAAGTTGTGCAATACCAAAAACAATTGTCTTGTTGCTGTGAGGAGACATTCAGACTGAAACTACCAGGTTTCTCCAACAGAATGGAGTAACTGAAGTGCTCAAATGTAAACTTTCTGCTCGACAGAGCTTGTTGTGACGCATACCTTCATGACTTTTGTCTCTAAGACGGCGTCCAAGAAGAGATCCATCTCTGTGAGCTCCTCTGTGGTGACTTGTTCCGTCACCTCCTCATAGTTGTCCAGCAGTGTCATAAAGCCTGCGAGCCCAGAAGTCCCATTTATTACAGTGATGACTGCAAACACGATCTGAATGTTTAAGCTCAGAGTGCTCACAACTACACACTTACTAGAGAAAGTGGTTATATTTCTCAGTTTGCTCTCATTAACGTTGGAGAGGAGCGGCTGCGAGGCGTGATCCTGCACCGTGTGGATGCCCTGACTTACAAAGCTTGCTCTACCCTAGGCAATTCAAACACAGAACACGTCTTTGTACAAACACAAGACATAGCAGGCGCTAAATAAACTAGAAAAGATTTGTCACCTGAATAGAGATCGTGTAGTCTATCCCAGGTGTCATGCGATTCACATCCAAACTCCACAGCTCATTGAAAATAGTGGAGAGCTCCTGCTTTACAGCTGGTCTGTTATAGAAAGTGTCAGACAGGCTATGCAAACATCTGACGCATGCACACACAAATAGAGGAAACATCAGCACAGTTTGGTTTATACCACTGTACCTTGATCCATTCAGTCCACTGAGGAACACTGCAAGGAGCAGAAATCCACAGAACAACCTGCATATAACCGATGTGAAAACATTTTTTATACATGGGAAAAGCAGCAAAGTTCTGACCTGTATTCAGCTGCCTGTGCAACAACGTAAACAAACTAATCTTCAGTCAGTAAATAAAAATACAAACCTCGCAGACATGACGCCAAATGAAAGTGTCCACTGTTTCAGCCTGGACTGCAGCAGAGGACTCACACACAGCCTGTCTGTCTAAAGGTCCAGCCTCCACCCAGAATCTTGCAGGGGCCTTTCTGAGCCTGAGACCCACTTTTAACCACCAGATGGCGCCTCATTTCAAGGCACAGCCTCTCTCTATAGTTTTGCATGAACTTTTACTAAAGTGATACAGCGATGCAGCTTCAGGTGGTTTTAATTTTTATTTTTTATACAACTTAGCTTATAAACCAACACATACTTGATACAATTTAATATCAGGTCCCATCCAGAGTCTCAGTGAAATGTTTCTCATGTATTGTTTCAGTGTAAAGGGGGGTAAGAGAAGAGTAGACTCATTATTCAATGAGTAGGTAAAGTAGGCTGTGCAAATGTAAGGTGAAATGTAAATCTGGGGAAAGGCAGTGGTCTGTGACTTGAACACAAGGGGGGTGTACTGAGCTGTCAAACTGCAGAAAATGTTTTCTCAGAAATGAAAGCCTCTGTGCTTTAAAATTCACCAAGATGCTAACATTAAAAGTTAACAGCCTAGATTAAATTTAGCTTTATGGAAAAATATAGCTGCCCTGGTTTACCTCTGAGCAGGAGCACACATATGTGTTAACTATGTCAGCATGTCCTGTAGAGTGACCACATGTCAACAGCATTATTATAGTAGGTTACATTGTAGTGGTGTGATGTATATCACCAGTACAGAGGTGTCAGCAGGGGCCGATGGGTGCATCTCACCACTGAACACAGACTTTTGTGCAGAACTGTAGAAAGGCCGTACTGTGCATGTATGAACGTGTGGAGACATGACAGGAAGAAATGAGAGGAGAGCCAGACAGACTAGACAAAAGAAATAAATCTGAGAAAGACTGAAAAAAAGAAGCAGAAATAAAAGAGACTTCGAGCTCTCGATTACACACAGAAGACGCATCTCATAAGTTTAGTGAGTGTTCTGTCATTTAGCGCCACAGCAGTTCACACATCTAAACTCAGCAGCATTCAGATTCTGTGCCACCTCACAGCGATAAACAGGCCTGGATGCTGTAAAGGGTAAACTCCAGAACCGAGTGCTAAAGGGGAACAACCATTCTCCGTCTCTTTGTGGCAATAAAATTGAGGCTCTATAAATAAAAGTCTTTGTGGAGGATTTAATTGTTGAACAAAACACAGAAATCCTGATTACAGAGCAGTTGTGTAGAGCACATTTTGTCATCTCCAATTATCGGTCAACATTATCGACCAACATTAGAGAGTTCTTGCGTCCCCGACGCTTGAAAAAAAAAAAAAAAAAAAAATCGGACATTTTGACAGGTGTGGATTTAATTTCTTCAAAGAAAACAAACGTATTTAAATTACTTTATTGATTTATTAATTGCATAAGTGTACAAAAAAGACATCTTTTCAGGGAAGGTGGAGAGCTGCAGAGGGCATTATCGCTTTGAGAAAACCAGACGTTTCCTTGCAGCACAACATTTCCCCAGAAATAACTGCAGGTTTCCATTAAAAATCCTTTTTTGGTAAAAACAATGATGAGTTCGTATATGACTGTGTTGCAGTTTCAAAACATGCAGCGAGATTCTTGCTTTATACTGTATATGCACATTTGTAAATGTATAAGTGACAGAATAATATTTAAAGACTGTTCTCATTTCCTTTAGCAGAGTTCAGTTGTGTAGAAAACATAGCAGCTGTTTGAGGGTTTTTTCTTTATAACTTCAAAATGGAAACAGTCTCAACACATCACTTCTAGTCCAACTCTTTCTTCTAGCATTGCCACAGTCAAAAGGCAATTTAAAAGTCATATATTAAATCTATATAGGCATTTTCTAGATGTTTTTTTTTTTTTTGCTGGTTTTCACTTCAGTTAAAACAGGAAGGTACCCGAATAGAACACAGAAATAATATCTCCAGAAACCAGCTGGCAGGCAAACAGTGGTGTTATCCTACATGTTCCCTCTGACATCAGTCGGGAGTAATGAAGACTAAGTTCAGGAGTGAAAGTGGCCTCTGGACCGAAGGCTTCAACATTTAAAAATCAACTAGAAAGACACGACGCTAATACTTTTGGCTCTTCTTTGAATGTAACACTAAAAATGAGGAAAACGTGGGAGCATTCTTGTTTTTTTGTTGAGACGCGTGTGTGCAAGTGGAGAGGGTTGGCACAGAGTTTCATTCACAGCAGGATCAGGTCTGATGCTGACAGCCTCATGCGTTGGAGTCGTCGTCGGTTACGCTGGGGTTCGGAGAATTGGAGATCTCTTTGAAGAGTTCGTCGTCTTTCAGCATGCTCTGGTAAACGAGAGAAAAGCATTAAGTTTACTATCAGAAGCCGTGGAAACAATAATCAGTGAGTAATTGTTCCTGGTTCTCACCGTCAGATTCTGAATGCCCTCAGAGAAAGCACCAATCTGTCTCACGGTTCCCTCAGAGTCCTCCATCTGTGAGCAGAAAGCAATAGAGCACAAATTTAATATGACTTTTTTTTTTTTTTTTAATTAGGCAAATCATTAATGAATGCTGAAGAATATGCTCACCTGTTCTAGCCGGTCGAGGTCATCTTCATAGATTTGGAGCTCGAAGCCTTTTTGGAAGCTCCGACCCTTTGGCATCTCCACGTCCATCGGACACACATACTCCTCGTTCTCTTCCTGCTTTTTCTTCCTCAGACTGCCAAAATTACCGAATGATAGTTTCTTTGGCTGGTGTGAACCAGAGAGAGAGGACAGGTAAGTACTACATACATTCGCACAGGAACGCACACATACTGATTTAGAAAAAACACAAAAAGGTCATCATATTTGATCAGTGAGTTTTTGAGACCTCTGCATCATCAGTGTCATTTTTTCCTCCTGGAATAAATTGCACAATAAAAATTTAAGTAATATGTTGCACAAAAATGCCAGATGGAGCAAAAAGGATACGAACTAAAAATCATATGCAAACTGATATAAACTGATATCACAAGATTTAAACAAAACAAACAAAAACTTAAAATGTTGAATTTTCTGGCAATGATTTTATGGTTACAGGGTTGATGCCAGTTTTAGTGACTTAAAATTCCTTTAAATTAATGTGTAGGCACATTTAATTTCCATGAGAAACTAAACTTTAATATCACTTTGTCAAATCAAATCTCTCAACTTGTTACCCATTTAAAGAGAATACACAGGAAAAAGCATTTCCAACATATTTTCCTTGTAAGTGCTCTGAGAAGTAATTGTAGTACTTGTAGTAAGAGAGGACGATCTGTCTGTGGGAACTCGTGCTTTACCTTGACCTTAGTGGTTGCAGTAAGCAAAGTGTAGTCTGGGTTTTCGAGACACTCCTGTTTGAGCTGCTGGGCCTCTGAACCAATGAGCAGGTTGAAATGTGTGGCAAGGTGGCGCCGCAGCAGAGTCTTGTTGGGGGGGATGTTCAGCAGCAAAGCCATCGTCTCCACATTGAACCGTGGCTCCAGAACCTGAGCGGGAATTTGGTGTATTAGGAGCGGACACAACCCAGGACAGCGTCTGCTCTTCCAGGGAAATTAACAACTAACTCTCTCACCATCAGGCCTCCATGGACGCCGCTGCCTCTCAGGTTGGGAGCATATTCAGCGAGATCCACAGACCTCAGCCACTCCATCACCCTGTGGTTGGTCCACTGGGAAATCTCTGCCGGTGAAATGTTGTTCTACAGACACAAAGTACAAACCACAAGCACAGTGTGTTCACACATAGCTATGAGTATGTAAAGTCAGTGGGCCGAGCAGCAGAACAGGCTGTTAAAGGAGCACACCTCGTCTGACGGCCGGCGACGGAGGCAGTTAGGCTCATAGTTGTTGAGTCGGAGGACTTGAATAGCTCTCTTGATGCTGAGGTGATGCAGAACGCTGCCCACCTTCAGGGAAAGCAGGTCATCCTGTTGGACAAAGAAATATATCAGTGATTTGCTCTAAGATTGACTAAACTGTGATTGTTATCCTTAAAAACACAAGACATCAGAGCTTAAAGAGGATCAGAGAGCCAGTGCTGAAATACAAATACCTGAGAGGGTGAATCTGGGATTAGAGAGGAAACTTTATTTTTATCATGCCAGGTCACTTCTGACTGATACATCAGAGCTAACTCATGCTGCACATCTTACCTGTTCCTGTGAAACATTGTTTGAAATAACAGATCAGAGCTTTCTAAGAGCAGAGCATACCAACCAATCAGTTCTCTGGGAGAATAATTAAAATAGATGCCATGAAGTTCAGTTAACACACTGTAAAGGGGGTCTTACTGCCTTTCCCAGAGCACTGAGGCGCTATTTGCTGTAAATGTTCTTTACTTAAGGCCAAGGTTATGGAAGCTCCTCAAACTTCTGAGAAAATAACTGAAAATTGAGAAACTAACTTGAAATTTGAATTTTTGACTTACCAATGGCAAAGATTACTCTTTTTTTCAACACCAGGATTAAAGAGTGAGACTAAAAATGTGCCATAAGAAGAGGGTACATTTAAGAATGAGTATTAAAGCTTACTTACCTTGAGGGAGCACCATGAGGGCCAAGTGAGAAAATGCACAAACCAAACATTTTTAGTTTGCGTCTGCACTGTTCTTTTCAGAAGTTGACTACATTTTGTATGGACATTTTTCCTTTTCAAGCTTTTAATTATTTGGCTGTTAAATGTTGTGAAACGAGCTGTTGTTTGTGAACGTAAGGAGGGTTTAGTCCACTGTGAGGCAAAACAGAAGAGTTGGAAGAGAAATTCTCTTGGTCTTTTTTTCCATAACGTGATATGAAAAGAAATGTATGTATGCAAAGAAGTATTGTTGCTATTGACCTCTCCATCCACTGGTGTAAGTGCTCAGGGTCTATGTAAAATAAATTAGACTTCTTTAATCCTCCTAATAAAAACATATTCCTGGTTTATTAAACTTGCTTTGTAGTGAGGCTTCCATCACCACTGGAGCTCTGTGCAGTAACACTAACATGAGGTGACACTAGAGTCATCAGCCCAGCTTATCCACAGGGTCTGTGAGGGGAGTGAATGTCTCCTATCGGCACTCACCACAGTCATGTAGTGCAGCATGCGACCGTCCACTCTTCCCTCATCAAACTGGGTCTTATACTGAGGCAGGCCGATGTCATCCAGCCATCCTGAGAAGAGGCAGAGGGAAGTACATCAATTATTAACTCGAGTAGAACATCAAGTAAAACATCACAAACATAAAAAACTGACCAACCGACTCATATCTTCAACTAGCAGCTGGTACTTACTTGTCACCCAGTTATAGTCCAGCTTTCCCTTATTGTCCTCCTCCTCTGAGCCGAGGGCCTGAAGAGCCAGCTGGAGCTTCTTTCTGTGCAGTGGGTGTTTGATGCCCAGCTCCTAAACATCCACAAGTTTGGATTAAACATACAACATTCCCCAGTTACTACACAGGAAGTTGAGGGCAGGAATACTTTGCTTTTCTTCCAGTGTTGGTAAACTTATTAAATTCTTCTGCTTCATCGCACCCTCTCCAGGTCCAGCTGCGAGGCCTGTAGCAGCGTCTGTCCAGAGGAGATCCACGCGCGAGCCATGTTTACATAAAGACCAAGACCCTGCTCCTGCAGCCAGTCGCACACCTGATCCTTCGGCCAGCGTGCAAAGGGAGCGTCTACGTCACTACACAAGAAAAGAGAAGAGTCAACAATGAAATAGGCATGCAGACACGCCCCTGTGGACGTAGATCAGTTGTAGTACATGCACTTGTTACATCTTTATTATTCAAACAAACACTACATTCACTGCACAACACAGATTCAAAACAAGGAAACCACATTGTGACTTTCATTATTCATGCTGAATGCACTGACTCACTTGTTGACCCTTTGAAGGTCACGAGACCAACCCAGTCTGGGTCCTGCTGTGGCACGCACTCCTCCTCGCTTGAACTCACCCTCTGGTAGATTGTCATCCAAATTAAATGTGGTAGACTGGCTCCTTTTTAACCTGAACAATAAGACATTAAAGTTAAATACTTAAAAAAAGAACACTCAGAGGGAGGATGTTTACAGGTTTTCTACTCACTTCCCAAAGAGCTTTTTTATTCCTTTGGATTTTTTTCTGCTTTCTGGAGTAGTGGGGAGCGTGTGTGTGCTGTCACTGTTATTCGACCTCTGTGGCAGCCCTGCCAGATCGAGATGGTCCGTACCCTGTCGTTCTGTTTCAGCTGTGCAAACAAATGCCAGCAGATCAGCATCAGCATCATGAGGATAAGGCAGACAGAGCTGCTGCACAGGGTCAGTGCAAAGAGCCAGAATACACTGAGACAGGCACATGAGGACTCCGGAGAGGTCACTGTGAGCAAAGCGATACGCTCTCTAGAATGGCATGCATGCAGACACTGTTCACTGCCTGAGAAAAGGATTGTTACTTTGTTTTAGATTTAGTTGGAAGGTCTTTGAGAGCCGTTTAAATTATTTTATCGAATAATCTGGATCTCAGCACAGCTTTGTGCTCGGGGAAAGCTTTAAAAGAAACAAAAGAGTGTAGGCAAAAACATGCAGGAACATGGCAAAATCTACGTACACTACAGCACACTCAACATACACAGGTACAGAAGTTTGTGCAACAAAGAACAGAGACAAAGTACTGGAGCTATTAAACTAAAAAAAGATGTCAGTGAAGTGAATGGATGAGATCAGAAATTGCAGACAGAAATATTCAGCAGTTTGCTTTCTCTGGACAACTAGTGCAACTCTACCGTGACTTGTGATCTATACTGTACCTAGCATAGGCGCACTCGCACTCCTGCTGCGGTCTTCATGTGTTACAAAGAGCACAACACACAGGACAGGGTCCAACAGAAAAGAACAAGAGGCCAGAAATTATGAGTGAAATAATAACGGGATTGGGGAGATGGGATGCAGATATACAAGTGTACAACACACACACACACACACACACACACACACACACACACACACACACACAC